GGGTTTGGGGGGGGTGTTTTGTTTTTTAATGCTTTTCTTTATTTCAAATCCAACTGACACAGACATAAAGACTGTTGAAAGAGAATTAACTTTGGCTGATGGTTCATCTTTGAATTTCATGACCATGCATAAAATTAAATGTGAGACAAAAACTTCAAGGGCAGAATAACATCATAAGGCAGTGTGCCCTGGGTCAGTAGTCAGGTGTTTCACTGCAAGCAGCGTCTGTTGATATGCATGCACAAATATTACTTTGCATTCCTGAGTACGGTAAAAGTATCAGTTTTTGTCATCTTTCTTTATTCACACAATGAACGTTATGGCATAGTATAGTGTATGTTGTACCAAGACTTTTTCATATTCCCATGAAAACTGAACATTATAGCTCAAATAAGTTCTACACATGCATATTTTAAACATGGCTAAAAGAGTAAATTGCAAAAATATTAAATAGGACCCCTTGACTTAAGAAAATGAACAGTACATCCAAGAGTATGTTTTAAGCCAAAAATGTCATACAGACCTAGGTTTTACTGTATTTATAAAAGATCCAGTTCCTGCTGACACATGTCTCGTACAATGTCACACACACTGGTAAGCAAAAATTCTGACCAATTTGCAACCAGTTCAGTATTTCACCTTGACTGAAGAACCCTTTGTACTCAAATATTCATATCTTTATTCTAGATTTCTTTTTAAAGTTTTCAACAATTACATTTGTAATGAGGTTGATAAAGTCTGCATAGCCCCTGGGGCGGTGCCACTGATTGAAGTGTCTTGAGGCCATTCCCAAAGAGGGGACATTTCTCGTTCATGCACAGTAGAATTGTAAATGGGCTGATTCATCAATGTCATGCTCATAACTGTGCCTGATCTACAACAGGGAACTGCTGCTTTTTCTGTCCTAATCCTTACTATTGTCATTTTCCTCTACTTCTTTTGATTGTTTGTCACACTCTTGTGACCCGCTATTTCCGGGGTGCCTTGAAAGTCGAAACAGACTTTATGTTGTTGAAGCTAGAGAGGTGAGCAGAGTAAGCCTGATTCCCTGTAAAGACTTCTCTGTTGACATCCACCCCTTGGCGCTCATATGACCTTATGCAGTAGCGAGTGCCGTAAAACCTCTACTAAATAAATTTTTTAAAGTCTGCATGATAAAGCTTTTTTTTGTTTTTCCCAAGATAACAATATCATGGGGAAAGAGGAGGAACAGATAAATAATCATTAATTTGCAAAAAAAGCTTGTTTTGCAAGCTGCAGTTTGCCCTTACCTGTTCCATAGACCTGCACACCTGAGTGAAAAACTCCAATGCCAATAGAGGATGTGTACTCATTGATCCAGTACTGAGGACATAGAATAAAAGAAACCGATGAAACAAAACAATATATACAGGAAGAGTTAAAAACCAGGAGAACATAAATTAGATGTATAAAACTGAAAAGGAAACAATACCACATAGCGATGTCACAGGGAATGACTCATCCTTCCAAACACAAAACTGTCACCTGTCACCATGGCTGTGCTCATCTGTTGGTGCTCCACTTCTTGCCACAACAGGACTCTTTCTTCCCCAGTCTCTCTGCTTTGATGTATTATTTCTGACCATATGTGTCACGACGAGGTGGAATCAGGTACTCGTCAATTTTCGGGCATTTAGAGTTATTGGTATCCTGTTCATGATTTGTCTTGCTTTGGATGAAAAAAAATGTCCATTTATCTTGAATACAGGTTGAGATATTTGTGAATGAAGGGGGTGGGGGTCACCTGCTTTCAGAGGTCAAATAGGTGAGAAAATAGCAGCCAAAGATTAGTTATTTCCTTAGCTTGAGAGTCTGTGGAAAGTGAAATCTTACATTTTTGTGCCTTTAACTACTGTTTTTCAGTGAAATCCACACGAAAATGTGTTCATTAATTTGCATGAATGGTGCTGTGCCAAAAGACAAAAATTCGATAAAAATTCACAAACCTGCGGAAAAATGCCAGTTTCTTCACTTTGATTATTTTGACAAGTGCCTGATTTCACCACGTTGCCTCACAAATAAATTTTAAAATTTTGCAATTTGCCCTTACTTGTTTCTCATCACAAACGGTCACATACTCTTATGACAAAGCATGATACTAAATTCAGTTTCTGACAGGTAACACAAGACAGGTGCAATGATCAGCACTGTAGATTGAGGGGTATGGGATACCAACACGTCTGCGCCCTTTTACGCATGTTTTGATCACATTCTGTGTTGATTGAACAAGTCTCCTCACGATAAAGTGGTCTCTCCCTGAAACCAGACGCTCTGGAGGCCAGGATTTGGGTACAAAAAAGATCGAGAGCCAAGGGCTCAAAGGGTTAAGAGGCAAGCTTTGACTTTGCCTCCTGGGTCAACCCCAGCTGAGATAGATAGATAAAACATCCCAGCAGAAAGACCAAAATATATAATAAAAATTCTCCCCACACAGGAATTGAACTCAGGTTTTCTGTATGCAACAGTGAGGCACCTAACTGCTAAACCACAGACACTAGTGTTAAAGATTAAAACATGACCAAAAAAAAAGAGAAAGTCCTCACCATATCATAGACATTGAGAACAACAGGCTCCTGAGCCATTCTGCTCTTTGGGACGTCCAACACAAGTCACTGCGTCCCCACACAACTCACAAACGATGATTCACCTTCACTTGGCAAAGCAGCATTCTGAGGAGGATGCGAAAAAGCATAAATCTATATCAAACCATAACCATCTACCAAATCCACTTCTCACATTGCCCTCATTTGCCTAACCTCCAATCTGTACCCAAATTTCAGCTGAAATGGACAAGTCATTCTTCAGTCACAAAGATGACAAAAGAAAATGACATGATGCGTCCTAATAAATCTGAAACCTTAATCACCTTTTGTATTCATGTATTTTTTCAAATAGCGAGGTGAGTAAAGGGAGGGAGGGAGGGGGAGGGAGAGGGAGAGGGAGAGGGAGAGAGAGAGAGAGAGAGAGAGAGAGAGAGAGAGAGAGAGAGAGAGAGAGAAAGAGAGACTATCTAGTTTATTCTGTGTTGGTAAATTCTATCTTTAAATGAATGTTAATTATTATTTAAGTGACAGAAGAGGCACCAACTAGACAACACTTTCAGCCCACTTCAAGGTTGTTTGCTCTGCAGTATTGTCAAAAGTTTTTACACCATAAAACTTTTGTGATAAAAAGTGAGGGATGGGCAGGGTGTTACTTAAGTTAATATCCTGCTCGCTAATATTAGCAAGGCCAGGAAACAAAACTGTTGTGACATAGATGCTCTCAGATATTTGCAACTATATATATATCTGCTCAATTATTATGAAGGAACCTATCTGTCGAGACAGAATTTGATGGGGTACCAGTTAGAGCTGGGCGAAGAATCTAGTTGGGAACCGATTCCCAAGACTAATGCTACGAAAGAAAAGTTCCGACTCCTTTTTACGTAAACCAGCCGTTACCTGTTACTTTAATCAGTAAAATCTTCTTTTTTTATTGATGCTTCGTAGTGTTCCGAAATCAAGGTTATTCTAAATCCTGAAGAACCACAGGAAGAAATCACATCATTGGAAAGTAAGTAATTGGGTTCGGAGTCGTTTCCTACGATTCCTAGCTTTCAATAACCGGGAACCTCGCCCCCCAGCACTAGTACCAGTCCACTTGACGATCTGCCTGTGCTGTGTCAACTGGTTAGGGTTAGGGTTAAAGCTAGGATTAAGGATTGGGTTAAAGTTATGGTTTGGATCAGGATTGTTGTAATAACTTAGACTGGAAGAATATCCCTGAGGAACAATTCACAGACTGGTCTGTTAGTAGACCATCAAGTAGAAGTAGAACACAAACATTGCAGTAGACTGTAAAATGGACTAGCACTGAGGGAGGCACCACAGAAGATTGTAAAAATGGGAATGAAAGTACCCTGTCATAAATATCAGACAAGCCCTTTTGGGGGTTAATCTATCTAGAAAATTGTCAGTTTGCCCCTACACTGCTATCCCTCATAGTCATGATACAGATGCTTTTGTTCCATGTGTACATGGTGTATACTTTGACTAATACTCCTGATTTACACAGGAATGCTAAACAACAAACAAAAATTTTCACTCCCAAACGATCCTTACTGTGATGATTCGTCAACGATGATTCATCAAATTAATTTCCCTAAGAATAGGTGGCAGCACACTACAAAATTATTGAAACCAAAAAAAAATGTTGCCATATTACTTTGGGAGTTTTGGTCCCAACGTTTACTATAGAGTGAGTTGTGGCTCCATTAAGCACTTCAGATATATTATATCTCTAAAAAAACATTTGCTTCTGGTTCAAAGCAATTACTTTTCTTTGCATGTGTGCAAATATGATGTTTGACGCACAGCAAGCGAGAGAAACTATGAAACCTTTTATTGCAAAACTAAACATCAAATTATGGTTAAATACGGGAAACCATCCACATTTTTCTTGGGTCAGGGGGACATGCCCCCCTTTACTCCTTATCTCTGGCAAGCATTTCCCAGCAGCTCACCTTTGGAACTGCTGGCAGTTGCTTGGGCACAATCCTTTATGACGACTGCGATGTCAAATTACTTTTGCCGAAAACAGGTCTCTTTGACCAGGAATTCAATTCATTAGATGAAGAACTCTCGAAATATAGGTTCACTTGTTTTGATTTAATTAATGATCAATTTAAAGACGGTTTTTTTGTGTGTGTGTTTTAGTAGAGGTTTTATGGCGCTCGCAACTGCATCTAAGGTCATATGAGCACCAGAAGATTAGAGGTGTTACAAGAGAGTAACAAACATAAAAAAGAAGGAGGAGATAAAGGATGATAGATGTTTGATAGGAAAGAAGGAGCAAACCACATCAGAGCACCCACCAACCACCCACTTAAAGACGTTTATGTCAATTTTAGATTTTGTGAAAAGGGCATAGTGGGTTTACTCCCCCTGGGAGATGAAGAGTTAAACCCCTTGTAGTTAAAAACAAGAAGTGAAATATTACTGCTCATTTTGTACTAAAAAATAGTGCAGCAGACAGCACCATCTCCACCTCTCTTCCACTTCTAGTTTAGTTCCCCAGTCCGAGTTTGACCCTAATTTTTGTTAATCACCTGCTTTGCGGCAAAGGAACTACAGTTAGCACATCTCTCGACGCTCTCTTTCAGATAAAACATTGATACTGATCATTAAATTCCGTATTAATATGGCCATATGTCAAATCCTGATTCTCAACAATTCAGATTTAATTTAAGACAGGTCATGGTTGACAAAATTCTACGTAAGTGAAGAAGGCAGCAATTGTTCTGATGACTAGACAGTTTCCTCATCAACCTCTCGTATGGAATGACGCGTTTTCGGTATGTTAAATTAACATTTCCGATTTTCCTAGATCCAGTACTTGGACATGAAGGAAGATCGCTTAGATCTAGATCGTTGATGCTCAAAACAGTAGGATTAAGAACGCTGATGCTTGAAATTGAAACACAGTAAACGCAAAGACAATAAACCGCACGAAAACTGCCGTAAAGACACTGGAGGATTAGATCTAGACCTACCCCCCCCCCCCCCCCCC